TTTTCCCTTGGAGCATGAACTCTTGGTTTTGGGCATTGCATCAAGTTGGAAATAGATGTTTCATGATGTTTCCAGTTTGGGTTGCAGTCTGTCGAACTCTGTCTGAGTCTGTCCAAGCACAAGGGCCACCAGAGAAGGCACCACCACAGCTCTACCATGCCATTTTCAGGCCATTCATGCCCTGTTGACACTATGTTGACACTATGTTGACACTATGTTGACCAGTTTTGCCACCTTTAAACACCTTCTGGGTCCAGCTTCACCCCTCAAAAGTCCTGCCTTGGACCCCAGTCTTTTCTATTTGTTTCATAATCACATTCATGTGGAAGGGACATGAGACACGATTAGCTGGTTAGGGTGACCCTTCGTGGGCCATTTTGGCTCAAGTGGGTCACAATTTTGTGCGGACCACAAGCGGGACAGCATATGGAACCCGTGGTCACTCTGGAGGAGGCGGGGGGAGAACTTTACGAGTTCCTCTTCCTCCTGCTCCTTTCCTGGGTGGCCGCGGGATCCGTGTGTTTTGTCTTGGGGTGGTGCTGCGCAGGGAGGACCCACAGCCATCCATCGCAGGGAGAGCGAGTACCTGCACGGTGGCAACACTTGGTTCAACGAGCACTTGCATTCGTTGGACGTCGAAGGAGGATTGCGCTGGCCTTTGGGAACTTGCGGCACTCCTCACTCCGCAACGGGCCAACTTCCAGACCCAACGCGGCAAGGAGGGCCCACAGAGCCCGGAACCATACACCAGGCCCCAGGGTCTTGAACGAGGGACCTGCAATCCCACGGACCGATGGACCCAACAGAAGACGAGCTGGCCCAAATCAATGATGTCCAAGGAGCAATGGATTGGGCCGGAGTGGAAGGAGACCTGGCGACGAGGCTTCAAGAAGTGCTTGGAGGAGTACAACGTGTCAGGGAGGTGGCCTTGATAACCAGGCCTGTCTGGGATCGCGCAGTGGAGAACCTCCAGGTTCCCGATGTAGTGGACCCTGCCGCTCCTGGACCACCCAACCTTCGAGCTCTTCTACCAGTCGAAATAGCGAGGACGGAGTCATTCAGAAGGGTCTGTTTGATGCGGGTGGGTCGCCCGACTGACGAGCAGGGAGGAGGTGTGCCGTTGAGCAACATTGCACCGGCCATCCTTCCTTTCCCGGCTGCCGGTGGGCCCCATGCTGGCAATGCGGGTAACGCCCCACAAGCAGCCACTACCCGCAAGCTGAAACTCTCAGCCATACTGGATCCAACTCTGGACGCCGAGATAGTTCCTCTACCTCCAGACGAAATTGCTCGGATGTACGAGGACTACCGGACGAAGTTCGGAGATCACCCAGGGAGCGACTCAGATCCCTCCTCGGATCAACTCGCAGCCCTCAAACAGGTGCTGGCATCGGGAGCGGTGCCGTTTGCTTGTTTTACAACCTGGGGCCCTCATGGACAACGTTTACTCCGAAAACAAACGTTCACGGGCTACCAGCTCAATGTGGCAAGCGGCGAATGGTCGAAGAAGGAACAGCCGGGCCCTTCGTCCTTCCATGCATGGTACCGCTGCTGGCGGGTCTACAGGACGGCACTCCTCCTGTTGGACAGCTGCGACCCGGAGCGCCTGGACAGCTATGCGGAGACGATCAGGGGCTTCGTCACACAGTTCGGCGACGAGTGTTGGTTCCTGGTCGCAAGGGCAGACGCCCAGATGAGGAGCGAACAGCTGGAGCGACTACGCAGGCAGCTTCGGACCAGTCCGGCACATGGGTTCACAGAAGCGGCACCATGGTCTGCGTGCTTTGCAGCTGCCTGCAAAGACCATGAATACTGGTCGAAGGAGCTCAGCACCCCTGCCACCCTCTTCTTAGCCAGGAACAAGAGGGAGCCATTGCAGGTCAAGACTGAGGCCGAGGGCGACTCTCCGAAGAAGAGACCACGACAGGGAAGAGCACCGAGACGGGGCTACACAGGAGACGACAAATCCGAAAAGGATGCAGAGGGCAACTACATCAGGAACTGCCGTGGGACCGACATCTGCAAGAACTACAACTTGGGGCGATGCGGAACCGCTGCGGCGCAAGGAAAGTGCAAGGCAAAGAGGGCACACCAGTGCTCGCGGTGCATGGGGCCGCATCAAGCCCTGTCTTGTCCTGGAAAGGGCAAGACAGACTGACGGTCCAAGAAAACGGAGGGCAGGAGATCCGACGCCGGCCCTGCCCCTTCCGAAAACCAGGCGTCAGCGGGAGCTCGAGATGGGCAACCTTCCCGGAAGAGACCTATCTCGCCATCGAAGTCCCCTACAGAGGACCAAAGGGCGGACTTCAGACAGAAATGGGGAATACCCTCCAGGGAGCATCAGGCCCTAACAAAGAAGGCCAGGACGGAGTCTCAGCCCGCGACACAAGAGCCTAAAGATGCAGAAGGAGGCGCAACGTCAGCCCTGCAGACGGCTACAACACAGCCTCAAGGAGAACCCAAGCTGGCCATGGAGACGGTGGACAAGGAAGACCTGGAAGAGGGCCTGGTGGTTGACAGACAACCCCCCAGGAGGTATGGCTTTTGGATTCATGGAAAAGGGGATCCCAGAGCAAAGCCATGGGCACTCATCCTCTTCTCAGGCAAAAGCCGTCGTGGGGATCTGCAAAGGGCGCTCGCTCACAAAGGCTGGAGAGTGTGCGCCATCGACACCGTGGCACCCAAGGCTACGAACCTGCTGTGCGATGCGACGTGGGATTCAATACACACGGATATCGAGCACGGCAACTTTGAGGCAATCTGGATTGCTACACCCTGTGAAACCTTCTCACCTCTGAGAGAAAAGCGGCCGGGGCCCAGGGTCCTCCGCACTCTGGACCGCATCCAGGGGTTGCCAAAGGACTCCCTATCACAGGGTGAACAAAAGCAGCTGAAAGAATCGAATATCCTTGTGGACAGATCGGTAAGTGCAGCAACCTCCCAAACCAGGGCAAAGAAACCCTGGGGTCTGGAAAATCCAGATCATGGCGAGGACAGGCCAAGCCTATGGCATATGCCGCGCGTCAAGGCCCTCATCGACGGTTGCTCGGACCTGGACATCAAGTTCGACCAATGCCGTTTGGGATTGTCTACAACAAAACCTACGCGGCTGTTGCTGTACAAGACCGACCTCTCGCAGCTCCACAACTTGAGGTGCAACCACCCGATCCAGACCTACCAGAGAGAAGACGGGTCCACAGGCAGGGGCCCACACATACCCACGGTACAGCGATGGGTGGTCAATGAAAAGGGGGAGAAGGAGAGAGCTTCCAAATCCCAGGGGCAGTATACTCCAGAGTTCTCTGAAGCTATCGCTGGTGCTTTCCACGCCTCTCAGGCAGGAGCCCAGTGGCTGAAGGATGAACTCGGGAGTGAGGAGCTACCCTGAGATCCCACGAGGCAATTCTCCCTGATGGACACGGCCCTGACCATCAGGGAAGAGGAGAACAGGAGGGCCTTGGGTGGAATGAGAAACCCCCACCTGTCGTGCAGAAGGTTACCAAAGACGTGGGACCAAGGTGAAGCCATCAACAAGCTCCTCACGAAAGCCCAACGCTTGTGGACTCAGCTCAGGCACCCGGCAGAGGCCATCCTACAGGGAAAGCAGGCCGAAGAGATGCCGACGATCATCGTGGACAAGATCAGGGAGACCATAGTGAAGTCGCTGTGGAACTGCAAGCCGAGACCCCAGAGAACGGCCAGAGCCAGAACGCCATTGAGGGCCGAGGTCATTGCAGGATGGGCCAACGACCCAGACTCCGGCATCCTCGCGGACTGGCTGGACCACGGCGCCCCCATGGGATTTGCCGAAGAGGTTACCAGCACAGGAGTTTTCCCAACGGTCAGCAAGGACATGGAAGAGGTCGAGGCAGAGCACATACAGGCCAAGACACTTGAGGGATGGGCCAACTACTCCTCAGCGTCAGAGGAAAACAAAGTCCTTCAAGAGCTCATCCAGGACTACAAGAAGAAGGGCTTCTGTCATACAGCGGCATCCATAGAGGAAGCCACACAGGAACTCCAGAGAAAGCCCGTCCTCAACAAGTTGGGAGTCCTGGTGAAGACCAAGATCGAAAACGGAGTCGAGGTCAAGAAGGCAAGGATCATCTGGGACCTCAGACGATCGGGAGCAAACAGCTGCTGCCGCCAAGGCGAAAGAGTTCTGCTACCCAGGCTCCTGGACCTGGCTGCCTCAGCCCTCGAGGGCTTCAGGAAATCCAAAGACTGCTGGGTCGCGGTGATCGACATCAGGGACGCCTTCCTCAACATACCGGTGGGAAAGGACAGATTCGCGCTAGCAGCAGCCAAACCGAAGAGCGAGGTAAACGACCCCTTGGAGATCGTCCTGTTCGACACGCTGGTGTTTGGGGCGGCAAGCTCTCCCACGGTCTGGGGTAGGTTCGCAGCATGGTTGGGCCGAACACTGGCCGCAGTAGAGCGAAGGATGAGGGTTCAGGTCTACGTCGACGACCCGGCCTTCGTTCTAATCGGGAGCTTCGAGGAGGCGGTGGAACAACTGACCACGGCACTGCTCTGGACTGCTATCGCGGGCTTCCCGGTGAAACTGCAGAAAGCAATCGGTGGAAAAGAAGTGCCCTGGATAGGGGCAGTGCTTTCCCTGCGTACCGAGGAACAGTCAGTGGTGGTGACCATTCCGGAGGAGAAGATAGCCAAGCTCAAGGAGTCCACAGACAAGTTCCTACGACGGCCGGTGGCGGGAGCGAGAGAACTCAGATCCTATGCAGGGGCACTTTCGTTTGTGGCTGGACTGGTTCCCCACTTGCGACCTTTCCTATCATCCCTGTGGGCAGTTCTTCCCTCCTGTGGTGGTACGGCGAGTGACGGAGCCCGTGCCAAGGGTCGTTCCGGAAAGCTTGTACACACCAGGAGGATAGAACCAGCCCTCAGGTGGATAGGAGCCCTCCTGTCGGGGGAAGCGGCGCCGCTGAGAAGAGAGCTGAAAGCTCACTTCCCCGCGCTGAATGTTACCATCACAACCGACGCATGCCCTTTTGGCATGGGAGGCACGCTGAGGGTGGAGGGCGAGCTCAAAGAGATCTTTTCCTCCGGTTTACCCCAGTTCGAGCTCCAGAAATTCGAAGCCAGAAAGGGGGACTCCAAACACACCACCCTCTGGGAGGCGTTAGCTTTGTTGATAGCCTGCCGTCAATGGCTGTCCAAGTTTGTAGGTGTAGCCAAAGTCCACGTCCGAAGTGACAGCCTTTCACTTCTTCAGACACTTTTGAAGGGGCGGGCAAAGTCAAAGGATTTAGCCATCATCGCCCGGGAATTCGCTTTGGACCTCGCCAAAGACCGCTACAGAATACACTTGCTCACGCACATACCGGGTGTGACGAACCTCGAGGCAGATGCCTTGTCAAGGGAGCTCGCCCCGGTGGCGCTTGAGCTACCACGGTCTTTGCTGGGGGTCCCCAGGGCATCGGTCAAACTCGGCCCCGACTTTTGGATGGTCCGATGACGAGCAAAACAAGTGCGGTTGGGCAGCAACAGGGTCGGAACTTCAAGTGCTCTTTCCCGCCAGTTAGGGAGGGTGGTCAACCCGCATGCTTGCTCTCACCGCAGTCAGGCTCAGCCATGCCAGGCAAGAAGCGGTCCTGGCAAAAGAGCCAACAGGCCGAGCCAGCTGGCCATGGCAAGCTCTTGCCACTTAGGGAAGGGTTCGCAATTCCCATTCGCGGGACTGGGAGTCCGAAGCTTCGGGATGGCCCGGCTGGACTTTCCCAAGCTCGCGAGGGAGGCGGACCACGTCCCTATGCGCGTGGTTCCTCGGCGGAGGCACTCGCCTACATTGCCGATCCAAGCCTTTGCAGCAGCACGCTGAAGAAAGACATCAGCGCAGCCACCACGACTGGGCCAAACGAGTCCAGACGGCAGCTGTGGGCTGACCTGGCCACCAAAGCTGGCTACTCCGACCCTTTCCACCTTCGTCCTGATATGGTTTACGAAGTGATGGGGGCGCTCAAACTGGCAGGTTTCAGGTCCGCACAGCTGTACCTAGATACAGCCAAGGCACAGCACGTGTCACTGGGGTATGCCTGGTCAGACCAGCTGCAGCAGTGCTACAGGGCTGCAGTCCGCAGCTGCCTTAGAAACATAGGCAGCCCCAAGCAGGCCTCGCCGCTCCCGTTAGCAGAACTGGCGGCGCTGGGCGGCTCCGAAGCAGTGGTCAACGGGGGCCCTATTTGGCCAGCAAGGGCAGCCCTCCTAGCCAGCTGGTGGCTCCTGAGGGAAATAGAAGCATCTCATGCAGTGCGAGAGCACGTGGAGGTCGACGAAGGCAACCGCAGGATTTCATGGAGATTGCCCTCTTCCAAAACAGATTGGAAAGCCCTGGGAGCAACACGCTGCCACTCATGCTCGTGCGAATTCGCGCCTCCGGTGCAGTGTCCTTACCATTGTATGGTGGCACACCTCGAGGCCGTCGGGCAGCGGCCAGGGGCCCCCATTTTCCCGTCAGCAGACGGGAGCCCCGCATCCAAAGTTGGTTGGGCCGACACCTTCCAGTGGTTGGGCGCAGCTCTTGGGCTACCAATCACCCACGCCAACGGCGCCAGGTGCTTCACCGGGCACACCGCCAGGGCTACAGGGGCAGTTCACCTGGCAGCCAGCCAAGTGGAAATGTGGCGCATCCAGCTCTTTGGAAGATGGGGCTCTCAAGTGTTCCTCCAGTATGTCAAGGAAGCACCACTCAAACAGCTTGACAAATTGGCGCTGGAGACGTCGGTACACATATCCATCGATGCGGCCAAGTCGAGACTGGAAGACCTTTTGCGCCGCGCACAGCATGGCCTATCCACAGCAGTGGCATGCCCGTCACAGCTCATGATACGAGACTGCGAGGCAGCAGTCACCCATGAAGAGCCACCCAAACCATCGGATCAGCTCATCATGAATCGCAACGGGGGCAAACTACATCGGGCGCTCGTCTTCGACAGCGACATGCACCCTCGCGAATGGCGCACAAGGTGCGCGTGGCATTTTGGAGGCCCCCACACGTTGTTCGAGGCCATTCAAAAGGAGCCCGACGAGCCCTCCTACTGTTTGAAGTGCTTCCCAGAACATAGAAAACACAATAATTCATCAGCCTCCGAATCCTCCGATTCCGAGAGCACCTCATCCGCATAACCGCTACGCAGGTGGGACAAATTTGGTTATTGGCTGAGTTGGCAAAGGGCAAATATCTGTCTGGCTGGGTGCCATCCAACCAAAGGGGATGGTAACAGCAGACGCCAACTTTGCAGCCAACTGTGAAAATAGCTCCCCCCTGCATGGTGGGTGGTGGGGTTTGCGATGAGTAGGATCTTGTCTCATAATCACATTCATGTGGAAGGGACATGAGACACGATTAGCTGGTTAGGGTGACCCTTCGTGGGCCATTTTGGCTCAAGTGGGTCACAATTTTGTGCGCCCGCCCAGCCCGTCCCTGGGTTATACATGGGCAAATATCTGTCTGGCTGGGTGCCATCCAACCAAAGGGGATGGTAACAGCAGACGCCAACTTTGCAGCCAACTGTGAAAATAGCTCCCCCCTGCATGGTGGGTGGTGGGGTTTGCGATGAGTAGGATCTTGTCCAGCCATGACATGACAACGACAATTTTGTTGCCCAAAATCTGAAAGTCTCTTTCCGAAGGAACCTTACAAAAACTGCCATTGCACCAACACGATCCACGCCCAGCACCTCCAGATCTTTGATGATTTTTGCAGTGGCATACACTGGGAGAATTCGTTGCAGTTTGGCATGTTTGGAAAGTTTCCAAGTTTCCAAGGATGGCATCAAGCTGGACCAGATTTGGGAGAGGCACCGCACCTTTTGTCAGATCTCATTCAGCATTTTGTTTGATTTCCTCGCGGAATTGATGGGCTGCTCCAGGTTTGTGGGGGACTTTGCAGCCCGAGCAGCCAAGACACTGTTTTGTGCTTCATTATGCTTCATTAAAATCCAAGAGTTCTCACGCTGTGAGCAGCACGTCGATCAATTTTGCGTCAGCATGGGTACAGTACTTCCCAGTTTAGTGAAGTTTAGTAGCGGTCCACGGGTTGGACACCTAAGGAGAATCTGCCGGACCTGCCAGATGCGATGTTTGCCACAGATATGCCCCTCGTCCAGCATGCGCTCAAAGTTTGTACGAAAAGCTCTTCAACAAGCCAGATATGTCATGATGGTTCCCATGTGGCACCGTGATATCCCGGGATTTCTCAATCAGTACCAGATTTGCCAGTGTGTTGCCAGTGTGTTGCCAGTGTTGATTGTGTTCGGTCTACGGTTGAAATCTTTGAAGCTGTGCCAATGCCTACGGCTAAGGTTCGCTTTTCATTGGTTCTATGTGCAAGAGGCAATGAATGCTGAGGTCTTTGACGGTATCAAGTTGTCTCTGCTGCCTGTCCAACAATCTCCTTTGGGCTTTTCTGAAAGAGACATCGAAGGATCAATAAAGGATCTGCATATATATATATATCTGAATATAATTTGATATGACTTGCATGTCATAATGTATCTTGCCCGAGGATGTCCTCACAAGAGAACAATATGGAGTGCAGATTCTCATTGTGCATAGCCGCGATAGTTAAGTTGACAAGCGCCCACAAATCTGTTGAGGTTTCTAGCGTTTCTGGTACTGCTATTCGCAACGGGCAATATCCTGCTTGCAGCAATCTCGGTGTCATGCATTATTGCTATCGTCGGCAACTTACATTCCAGCAGATTGTAGTGATGGCTCTTCAATAGGTCTTGTGATAATGGCGGATTGAGAGAAAGCTTATGCTTTTGGGAGCCTTGTGAGCTTTGGGAGCTTTCGGATGCCAACCTTTTTTCCAAGGTCTCTTCCGTGCTGGCTTTTGCCGTGTGCATGGGCTGGAAGACCAGCGTAAGTGAAGCTGTCATCTATGTCATGGTCATAGGTCTATCTGTCGACTATGTCATTCATTTAGGCAGGGCATGGCAGGACTGTCTAAAGTTGAGAATTTTCATTTCCGGAGAGATGAAGCATTTCCAGCTGTGCAAACTTCATCGGTTTGGCACCAGAAGACCTGGTGGCTGCTGCGCATGCAAGTACTTGTTTATAAAGAGGTATTGCCATCAAGTGTTACTAAATGGTGTGTATTGAGATGTATTTGCAGTTTTAAACATGTCTTCATGTTTCTTCAGCTTGAAAGCTGTGTGCATGGGCCATGTTGATCCCTGTTGGGTGATTTTTGATGCCCTCCCATCTCACCCATCTGTCTCCTCCCTGCCCAACTACTCCTGTCCCCTCACGGGGGCATGGAGAGTCTGGCAACCGAAAATCCACCGCAAAAGCCAATAACGATGATTGTTCAACCGTTGTCGGTCCACGATCCTGTTGAAAACAGTGCTTCTCTGCCTTCCTTAAGAGTGGCAGTGGCATTTTCTGCACATCTTGCGCTCTGCCCACCCTAAAAACCGTCGCTTGCAACGGTTGCTCTTTTCTCCAGCCGCTGAACACATAAAAATGCCCTGCATTTTGGTGTTTCGTGTTTCCAGGCGATGCCTATTTGGAGCGCCCTGATGAAAAGCGAGAAGATCGAGTGCAGTTCATGGACATTTGGCTCAGTTGGAATTCAAGTGGGGCGGGACCTTTTTGACATGTGCATACATGTGCAACATTCCATTGTGTGTGTGTGACTTGGGCCGGGGACCATGCATTTCCAAATTGGATTTCATGCAACACAATTCTGGGTACTTTCACTAGCTTCTCATCTATGAGGCTGACTCGTTGATACTTGAATTCGTATGATGAGACGGTACGATTTTACCTTAAGTTCTTGCGAACAGCCAATGAGGTTACAAAAATGGGCGTCTCCGTGATCTCTGGAGCCATTTCATCAGACTCTTGACGCCAGCGATTTTGGATGAACACATCAGTCTCCACATATTGCATTCTCCTTCTTGCCCGGTGATACTTGAAAAGCAGAGCCATCTTCATCAAAGGCTGGTGCAGCACTATTCATGATGTTTTGCAGGAGACACTGAGATGCATTACAAACAGATCAAACAGGGCTGACCAAGCAACTCATTCCAAGCTTTTATTGTTGGATGAGGCAAGCAGAGGCACTTTTTTTTTCGCGCTGTTTAGGTACGAGAACTTTGACTGTGAAGACTCTAGTGAAGACTCTAACCTCTGGTAATTTAACATAGCTATTGAAAATCACAATTTTTAATGGGAAAATCCACTATTAATGGCCATTTTCAATAGCTATGTTAAATTACCAGAGGGTACATGTTGTGAGAAGAGTCTGCTGCTGTTGACCTGAGGCCTGTTCCTGGTGAAATTTGGGACGCTCAGATTGTGTTTAATTGGCTTGCAGATTGCAGATGATTACAGGTTTTGCTCTTGCATTTGTTGCTTGCACATCAGGTGGTTTCCAGAAACCATCTGGCACCCTGTTGGGACTCACTTTCCAAGGATGGTGATTTGCTATGTGATCAGCGTCTCTGTGGTTACATCTCTTGTGTTTTTCTCTGCCATGCTCCTGGTGGTTGGACCAAGCGGAGAGTTGCTTGGCAAAAGCAAACCGGCAATTTGGGTCTGCCACTTGTTGGACCTGCCATGCAGAAATCCAAGACTTGTGTCCCAAGAACAACTTCAGGCAAGAACGAAAAACTTGAACCAGGTTCAATGAAAAACTGTGCAAGAACAATGTGATATGATGTGATCCATACGGGGAGTCCATTGGCCAAAAAGTCGAATAGATATGATCTGACATCCGAGAACTGTTGAGATATGTTGAGACACGCAAGGGCAAGCCTTTGCAAAATCAGGAAAAGACACTGCTTCGACACTGAGGACTGGTAGTCTTACAGCTTGCTGGAGAAACATACGCAGACGTCTTCCTTGTTTCAAGCAACGAGCGGAGCAAGAGGAGCAAGTCAGTGAGCCGATGCTTGGCTTAGGTGACGACCTGGATGAGTCACAAGTTGTAAGAAGCATTGGATGTGGGTGGTATTTGGGATCATCAGTGTCACCATGTAAAACTGTGATTCACTGTATCATCGACTTGTCATTGTCACTCACCCTACAATATCCTACAATGTGCTCGTTGAAAGACAATTATATAACCACGAAACGTGGTCAAGCTACCTCAGTTCATCCGAGTTCCATGTGCTTTAGTTTCTTTAGTACATGAAATGCATGATATGTTGCACAGATGATGAAAAGATCTCAAGGGCATCTTTCTTTATGTCAGCGTTGTGCTCTTCACTTTTTGTATTTGTCATTGGGCTTGGACTGGCTAAGGCAGAAACCTGTGCAACCACGACTTTATTCGTCGGTGGTGAGGCCGTCTCAAGTATGAAACAACAAACGGACTCACAGACTCACAGAACTTCAGCTGTTTCCTCAGAATCCTTCAGATACAAGACTGTCTAAACAATAGAATTTGGTCCAAACGGCTGTAATGCCTTTATCGGTTAAGCTTCAAAGCTGCTTGCTTCTCTTTTGGTGTCATTTGGGACCGGTTGCCCTGACTACACAAGCCCGTCCAGTCTTACCCATTCACTCGCATGTTGAAGAGAACGTGTAGAGTGTAGAATGCTAGTCGGTCTCTAACCTCTGAAAATCAACCTCTAATTTGGCTACCGACACTGTAGCCCGGCTTTGAGTATATATATATATATCTATGTATATACATAGAGAGATGTGTTTGATACGATGTGCCAAGAAAGATCGCAATTGAGGCTCAAACAATATGAAACTAGCTGTATCAAGGTTTATGAGCACTCTTTATATTGGATTTTAACCGCTCAAGTACTTGAATTCTATCCACATGATTTGGGGTATGTCAATTCGACCTGACAAGCCCTTCGCAGATTTTAGCCTAGTAGGTACAGGAAGAGCCTCGCTCGAGCCAGTATGGCCCACTTAGACGCCAGAGCCCTTGCGCTTCAACTCGGTCGCTTGACAATTCCTCGGCCCCTTTCCATCCCTTTCCATCCCTTTCCATCCTTTTCTGCGGTGCCCAGAGCTGAGCAAAGTTCTTCAAGAAGATTGTGACCAAGGTGACAAAGGTGACAAAGGTGGAAAGTTGCGAAATTCGTACCTAGAAGTCTTAGAAGGGATGAGAATAAAGTATCAAGACAACTACAAGGCTTAATAAAGCTTGCAAATCTTTGTTTTTTTCGCTTTGAGCTTTCGCAGCAGTAGGTGATCTGAATCTAAGGACATGAAGTTCAGTGCCTTGGTTGAATGGTTCAGTGCTGGTATCTGAGAAAACAATCAATTTATATCAGTTTATAGAATCATTTCGCGGTGCTCCTCAAGCGCTCCTTGCCTTTCTGGCAAGTCTGCTTGAAACCGTATTTGAATGTATTTAGATGATCCGCTCCGAAACACAATTGCAACTTACACAATTGGTCGGCGGTCTAAGTGCGACGTGAGTCCAGCTGGAAGTCATTCAACTCAGGCCGACAGAAATTGAACCTTGATTGCAATTGGCTGTCAGAAAAACCAGCCATTGTGCCACCTTCTGAAAGTGTTTTTTCCATTTCTGTTTTACTTTAATGAGGGTACCCACCTATGTAAATCAAGAAAACATGACCTGGTAAGGAGGGTTTGCAGAAGGAAGTTCAGAGTGAGATACAGGCAACTAGCAGATTACATAAGTTATAGATTGTAACTTCTCCATACTTCTCCCGCACAAATGATTTCTACCATTTTGCAATCCAAGGAATTGTCACGTCTTGGTCAGGAAGACGAACCGTCGCCAAATCCACCAGACCTGCCAGATGAAAAAGGCACAGATGTAGAAACTTCAGCACTGAACATCCATTGTTGCATCCATTGCATCCATTGTGATTCCGCCATTGGTTGCCTTTGCTTCTTCTTTCAGTTTCCAAGTGCAATTTTAATATCGTGCCCACGTCTTGTAGGAGAGAAGAAGGTTGAGATAGAGTCTATGAAAGAGACAGGTGCCGTGTGGATTTATTTGATTTTCATTGATTTTCAAATTACGCAGTGGTTTCACATTTTGACATTGCTTTCCTGGTTCCGTTTGCGGTTCAGTTGAGCCTCACCTGTTCAAACTTTGAAGGACGCGCAGACTCGGCTGAGCAGGCAGTGCCGGTGCAGCCAGAAACTCGGTTCGCTGACGATGAAATCCTAAGGGCTACTCTGTTCTCGGGATGGTGATTGAGATTGTCAGACATTGTATGTTGCATTGTGGTACACTGTCTCGAAAACCTCTTGGCGAGCGGAGGTTGTTGAAGTTATTTCTTCCTGAAAACATGGAAGAAGCTAATATGTCGTTTGTTGGCTTCCCCGAAAATGAGTTTGCATGCCCGGAAGGAATCCATTGACAGGGAAATCCACGAGAGGCAGCTGTCTCCCATGTTGAGGATTTCATGAAACCTTCAAAGATCTACCCCAGAGGCACCCAAATCCCGAGACAAAATGTGGACTGAAGAGAACAATCCCTGCGGCACTCCTGGCCAGCCCGTGGAAATAGAGGACTAACACCAGGTAACACCAGGTGCAAAATGTGTGCAAACAATTGCAAACATACTACATACATCACGCATACATCACGCATCATCACGCATTATGCAGGTATTATCACGCCAGATGTGCCTTGGTGGCTCCTGTTCATGCTCCCTTTCCTGCGCAAGCTTTCGCAAGATCCAAGGATTTGCTGAGCTCCCCGTTTCAGGATGTACATTGACAGTCAATGTAGTCGACTCGTACCCTCTGGTAATTTAACGTAGCTATTGAAAATGACCATTAATAGTGGATTTTTCCATTAAAAATGGTGATTTTCCATAGCTATGTTAAATTACCAGAGGGTACCATCTTGTAACACCAATCATTCCCACCATACTTCGCTTATCTTCGCTTAGACATGTTGTAATTCTTTGGGCGCTATCAATGATAAAACCTTCATTGGGTGCGAGGTATGACTGGATGACATTGGTTTGATAGGCAAAACATGGAACACAGTAGGCCCCGGAAGGCATTATGATGCATTGTTTCTGAATTGTTCTTTCAGTACTTATGCCCGTCAAGTGCCTCATATAGTGTCCAGGCAGCGCCTCGCTGTCCGACTGTCCCTATCATTTCTTTCATGCCCTCACAAGGTATCAAGTTGATCAAGTGACATTTTCTTCCAGTGCCATGTGATGTTTGGAGAAAAATGTAGCCTTGGCTGGCTTTGCTTTCCCTGCGGCAGTTGTCCTTGTGGCACAGAGATCAGCAAATGTGGCCATTGACAGTTTTACCCAGGGGAATGGGTGCAAAGCTTCCATAGGGCTGAAAATAAGGATCACAACAGTTTACAGGGGTCCAGAGTGGGTGCTGTCAAAATCAAGAAGCACTTTGATCATCTAGCTAGCAGTTTGCATGAGACAATATGAGACATATCCTGCTTGCCCGTGGAGGAGAGTTAATCTTCTCTATGTTTGATTTTTGTTATGAAAGAACAGGGGCTCAGGAATCCAAACTTTTTGTTCCGTGCGTCCCTGCGTTCCCGCTTGCAGGTTTGTGGCACCTTAGTTTGAGTAAATTCCAGAGATGTAACAACATTAGAATTTGACGCATGGTATCCCGTCGTCGAAGTTCAAGCACAAACTTCAAGCATGCATTGCCCTTGAGGAGTCCCCTGCTACAGTCAAGAGCGCACAGAACATGTCTATTTTCGGTCATACACTGGCAACTGCTCTATTCTTGCAATTCAAGTTTCTGCTTTTGCACAAACCAAAGAAAGAAACTCCGCTTTAGAGCTCTGGTCACACTGATACAGATACAGGTTTTTGTTCTTTGCCACTGAACAGCTGACCGCTGTCAACACAGATTGAGCAGATAGTAAGGCCTCAAGAAGCTGGAGAAGGGCAGCCTGAAAGTGACACTGAGATCGTTGACTTGAGAGACATGCGTTAGTAGGGCCTATATTCTCAAGCTTTTATGTGATTGGTAGAATCCTCCGTTCGATGGATTTCTCAAGGGTGCACTGCCTTATGCACCGAAGGCATGCACTTGGAGGGCCCAACGTGGCCCGCACATGTTGAGTGCTGTGCCTTTATCTGTTAAAATAGCTCTGGAAAAGACAGGTGGCTGAAAGCAATGCCCTTCACAAGCAGTTTTGCATATTGATGCATAGCGCCATTTTCTGTGCAAACCTAAATCATGGATTGCTAAATAAGCTGCCCATTGGGTGCTGAAGGTATGCCACCAAATTTGCCTTGCTGTTGACACATGACTTTGCACCAGCTTCAAGGTCAATGCCACGGCCGAATCTACGCCGAATCTGTGCGCCACATGGCTCGAGGGAAGTGGCTGTGTAGGTGGGGCGCACCACAAAGGTCCCAAAGCCCATCCGAGGGCCGAAGGGCAGTTGGCAAGATGATGGTCTTGGCCTCAGAGGTTGCAACATGATCCTATGGTCGTGAAGATGGTGAAGATGTGACAAAAGGGATACAAATGTGACAAAAGGATTTCAAAGGATATAAAAGGAGTCACGGGCTCTTAGAGGCTCGCGGAGGCTCTCAGGTGGTCCAAGCAGACGTCTGAACCGTCTGAACCGTCTGAACCGGAGTCAAATGGACCTTTTGGAATCAACGAAGTTAACGAAGTCAACTAAGTCAAGTGAACTTGTGTGAATATCGTTGAAATATCGTTGAATTTCTGTGTGCCTGTCAAGGTGTATCAAGGTGTCAATATATCACAGGAGGGAAAATTGCGTGGATTTAGGTCACAGGAGGCCTCGGAGGCCTCGGCCTCATTGCCTCCTTCCATTGTGTGTGGCACTCAGGGAAGATTCACACGTGAAGAAACGTGACGAAACACAGATTCACACAGATTCACACACAGATTCTCCCTTGTCATCCCTTGTCATCCCTTGTCATCTGACATATCTGACATATTCTAGCAATTTTTTATACAAGTCTTGTCAAAGCTTTTACTGTAGATAGATAATTGACAGGGTAGGTTGAGAGTCCCTGGGTCAAGCCATCGTCATCTGCATCAGGAATCAGTGATGTCTTGGTGGCACAACGGAAAATCTATTCTCTGTTCAAAAGGAATTCACTGTCTTGCGTCAACTGTGAATTCTGTGCATGCAATATTGATTATCATCATGGGCAAAAATGACAAGATGCTATTGAGCCGCAGACAAGTGGAGCCTGAAATCTAAATCTAAACCTTCAGAGTTCAGACTTTGAAATCTTTGATCGGAGGCTGCTGAATTTGACAATCCCATCATCACAACCTCTAGAAGTGGAAGACTTGGAAGTGGAGGGTGGAAACCTTAGAAAGGGCAGAAGTTTTGTCTTCGAACTCTCAGCTCTGGGCTGAAACGCTCCACTAGTTATTCGAGTTTGTTTGCATTCTTGTTTTGGAAGCTGTTTTGGACATGTTTTGACCATCGACCATATCGACCCGAGGGCCTCTGCCATGAACATGTTCGAAGCCTTGAAAGAGATGGTGCCCGTGTACAATGTGAGGTCAGGGACCGGTGACAAACCGGCACTGTCCGTTTTCGACCTATCTTAGCCAGACAGAGAATTGAAGAAAACGAGGGGTTTGGACTGTAAAGCTTTGAAGAAACACCTCAAAAAATTCGATGGAAACAATGATGAACTATCATGTAAAAACAATGTAAAAACAATGTAAAGACAAGACATGAAAAAACGATAAAGATCATGAAGTGCATCATTGAGTGCATGAATATCATGTGGCACTGTGTGGCATTGTGTGACATTGTGTGGCATTGTGTGGCTGAATCACACCATGCGTCCAGGCTCAATGTTGCAAATGCGCAAGACACTTCTGATGTGTTTGCCTGGATTAGCCGACCTGGCATGCCGCCTGAGGAGCACCATTGGATTTGAAACGTACCATCGACTGTTGAACTCTGTTGAAATCCATAATGGAAACTTCCACTGAACCCGGACTGAACCCCTTACTGTAGCCGTAGCTCAAAGAGCGCAGTGTTACAAGATGTCCTAATCTCTCGATGGGCTCTATATTCTCATCTTTGCACAGGACAGCAAGATCCTCATTGATGAGGTAGTCTACCAGGCACATCTTGTCGAATCTTGTCGAATCTTTGTGACTGTTTATACTGTTTACTTTGACTTGGTACGACTGTCGTACGACTTGCTACTTGTTTTTCTATTTCTATTTCCATTGTAGGATGAAATGTCAAGGCAATCCGCCCGGAGGGTGAGCCGGGTGAGCGATTCAGCTTCGACCCTGCAGCAGGTGAAGTACAAAATCCATTCTCTTCCCGATGAGGCACTGCGAAGAATTCAAGAGTTTCTGGGCTGAGACGTGCTTAGACGTGCTGAGACGTGCTGAGACGTGCTTAGACGTGGTGAGACGTGCTGAGATTTGCGGAGATGTTCTAAGATTTCTAAGGATTTCTAAGGATTTCTAAGGTATAGAGTTTGATTTCTGAAACATGAAAAGCTGATCTGAGCTTTCCCAGTTTTCGCATTACTTTAGCTGAGGTTCCTGCTCGAAGTGAAAGACAAACTGCAGCAAATCATCATGGACATGCGTTCAGAGACGAAGACGGATCAGCAGCATGTCAAAAGTTGGCCATAAACCTTGCACAAGGTGCACAACTCGCACAGAAATTGCAGCATGCCAACGCTGGCATCACAAAAGCACCTGATAAGCTGCCAAAATGGCAGAATCTTTGTCCTCAGGTCAACTATGGCGGATTTGGCAGACAAAGAAGCAGCTGTAAGCCACGCCATCAACTTGATCCGAGCCAAGGTCGATCACAGATCACAGAAGAGGGCAAGGGCTTAAAGTGTTTGGTTACTGGTTGTCTTTGAAGTCACTTTGAATCGTTTTGGATTGAGTGTCATGTTGTGAAGTTGCAAAGCGCTTCAAGTTGCAAACTGAACCTGGCCATATGTAGATTCAGGTGGGTCCGGTCCCACGAAGCAGCTGCAGACTCTTGGGTGGTTTACCAACTGCTGGCTATGCGGCCTGGAATCCAAGTCAAAGAAAGTCAAAGAACTTTCACACGAGAATTGAAGCCGATGAATTGAAGCCGATGGTGTCATTCTGGCTGTCTTTCTGGCTAAAGACGTCCCCTTGCTTTGTGGCTCGCGACTTGGTACAGGTTCCTGATGCAGAGTCTTTGCACCGCCCTCGGGTTCAAGAGATTCAAGAAACCCTCGTCTGCAACGCACAGACATCTACCTGTTGAAGGCTTTCCGAAGACAAAATTGAAGCAATGGGATAAACGGGAGTCCCAACAGATGCTGTCTCTGAGCGACTTGTCTCCGAGGAGTGTTGCGACACCAGACCAGAGTCAGGCAAGACTGAAGCAAAGCGCTGAGAATTTTTCCAAGTTCTGACTGTTCGGATGCTTGAGAGATCTCGAGAGTCGCAGAGCAAATTGTCGCCAGGGGGCTGCCCCAGTGCCAGCTGTACCGAATGCAAGAGATGCTCGGCTGTTAAGCAGAATCTTTGTGTTTTCGTCTCAAGCAGAATGACTTCTCGTCGTCTCATGAGCCATGATTAGTAATTAGCTGTTGAATTCTCTACATGCATATGTATTCTTATTCTTGTTTATTTCGGTAGACAGAGCTTATGCACCATTTCATTTCCCAAGCCAACCTCTGACTTTTGGTGCTGGGATGCTTTGGTGTTCAAACTGGAGTGAACAAACTGGAGTGAACTGCAGATGCATTCCAGAAACCTTGGGCCAGCGAAAACAATCGCTTCCTTTGTGGATCATTCGGAATTTGGAAACAGGTCCGTGTGTCTGAGATCATGGAGGCCGAGTGCTGGCCTGAGCTCAGGAATGCTTTTCCTTTTCAAAAAAAACACGCCTTCGAGTCATGAGTAAATAAAATTTAAATAAATACATAAGTATTACATTACATTAGTGTTTTTTGTTGTTTTTTGCTTATTTTTCTTGGACTCATCCGCGTCCTAATTGCTGCCTTTGTTTACATACAGCTGCACGGCCCCGGCTATTGTGTGCACATTTGCCACATTTGAATTACTTGGAGAATTTTGATGTCATCGACGTTCTCGTATGAAGTAGCTGCAGTATCCATCAGTATCCATCAGTATCTCTGCTGAGGCGACACACTTCGCTTCCCAAGCCTATTGGGCCAGTCACAAGCGCTTTATTTTAGGAAATTTTGTAGACAGCGCAGTTCGATCTGGTGTCCATACTTCCAGAGTACAGGATGTTTGCAATTCTGGCGGAAGCTCTCCCTGTTAGACATAGTTCCGTACATAACTTGGGCTGCTTGAATTGCAACACAGTCTTCCGTGAAGTAAAGCTCCTCACAATCATTCTCAAAGACTACAACCTTGAAACATCAACGGCTGGACCGGCAGTCAAATCCAAAGAAGACATGTCCTCCAAGTGCACAATGTGTACGTCGCACATGCCTCTCTTCAATCCAGACTTGTGTGCTGGGAGCAAAAAGTCTGCAATCTGGCACTCCTGGGTGACTCTGTGAAAAGTGCTTTGTTTATTTGTTCTGCAAACTGGGTCTGATTATTTTGCGCAGCTTCAAGTCACAGAGTGGTCCTTGGTGCTGACCTCAAGATCTCTTCTGGAGCCTACCCAGCTGAAAGCGAACGCACTCGCAACAATTCAACAAGAAAAGCATCATTGGAAGGGGCTTCCAAGTCATGCAACAGATTGCTACTTGGAACAAATCATGGATGCGGTCAATTGACAGTGGCTTGGATCGAGTAAGGTCTAGAGTTTTTTAAGTCCTTCATTTCCACTTTTTTTTGTGTTGTGGGTTCGAATGTGCCAACCTCTGAACCTAGAGATGCGCTTGAGATCGCTTGAGAATCTTAGTAGTCTGCAGAGTATCAACTTCCAATGGCATAAGCTGCCAGCTGCCATGGTTGGATCTGAGCTGCGCTTTGCTACTGATGAGGGCGCGGTGTTGGTGCATCAGCCCCACCGGCAGGAAGGGACCAGAGATGCAGAAGAGTAACAGACAAAAACACCAGGAAAAGAAGACGATTTGAAAGAAAAGGAAGGAACATATTGAAGGGAACGGGCAAGAAACACTCGTCATGAGAAGATTCATGATTAATTTAGCCACTTGTGAATGCAAGACTTTGCTGCCAGGATGCTCAACGAAGCCGCGTGCACTGCACTGTTTCAGGACTTGGTGGAGTGCCGACACAAGACAAACAAAAAGGATTCAGACTCTTGTTTCCGGTCCAAACCACGTGCATCATGACTCAGAACAGTTGCTGTTCAAGAAAAGGCGGTGAAATTTGCCACCCACATGAAGAAACATGATGATATGTAAGCCGCATTAAGCCGCTAGCCAAAGATGAAGATACGCTGCACAGCTTTAGATCAGAGTATACAGTGGTATACAGTGGTATACAGTATCATCGGCCGATGTGAACATTGTGAACACGTGACAGATCCTCGAGTATGAAGCTAAAAAAAAGCTGAGAGCTTGAGAGATCTTTTTTAGTACAGGTTTTTTACGGACAGATGGGCAGCGGCTGTGGGCTGTGGGGAGCGATGCAGGAGCTGCCTTTGATCTGTGGCGGCTGTCTGCCGCACCGCCTGGTGGGGGACGAACTGCGGGACTCGTCTCTTTGGAGGCACTCGAGGCCGTGCAGCGCGAGGCCGACTTCGCCCAGCGTGCAGGCGCCTATGATTGTTGATTGTAACATATTGTAACCCTCCTGCCATGCATTGCAAATCTCTAAATCTTTATAAAATGAAAACATTCTAACATGATGCTAACATGATGCTAACATGATGACATGATGCGAACATGTCAACCAATCGAAGCGAAGGAAGGTGGTCAAACAAGACATGTCAAAACAAGAATCAGACTTGGTGCAATCTGTGCAATCTGCAGGCCGACATCCAAACATAGTACGTTGTCATGGTGTCCTCGTGCAGAATGAGGGAACCGCTCTCAGCACTTCTTGTGTGACAACTCGGGAAATGGGCTTCGTACAGCCTCTGGCCGAGCTAGCCTTTCAATTGCCTTCATGAGATATTCCACAAGTAGTTCCAACATTTCGATTTCAACATTGCCTTCCCCTTCCCGCATCTTCAAGCGAGAATGGGCATGTGAGGAGCCGTGCACTCGAAGCTCTTGCTGTGTGAGCCTTGTGTGTTTGATCTGGCAACCCACACAGCTTCTAGTCGATGCCTCAGATGTAGCTCGCTTGCTGCGATAGTGCTGATTTTGTGAGATGCTGGAGTGGCTGATTGGTGCTGATTGGTGCTGATTGGTGCTGATTGGTGCTGATTGGAGTTGGGGTGCAAGTGGTGTTTTAATGTTTTTGAGAGATTCCTCCAGATTTGTCATGGCAGTTCTGGACCTTCCAGATTTCTTGACTTTCAAAGTTATGCGCAGCGTGAGCTAAGGCTCTTCTTTGCCTTCGCGTGAGGTTTCAGATCTTGGCCAAGAGCTGGCTTTTGGACTTGGGCATCTTCACAACCTGGGAATCTTGTGACGCGGCAGCAGATTTCGGACATTTTCAGAATCTGGCAGTGTTTGAATTCTGACAATGTTACTTATATAGTCTTATATTGCCACAAATATTGCCACAGAACTTGAGGTGTCGAGTAGAGACACTCCCAGGTACGGTGGATTTGATGCGAGTGGAATCTTCAGAGGCTTGATCAGCATGTTCACTGTTTGGTTTCTGATTCGCCTCTCTGAACATGCACATTTTCGTGTTGATTTGTTTCCAAGGGTCCTAAGACTTCCTAAGACGTCCAAGACTTTGGATTTCGCTCACTTTGAATTCTGTCCTGATCCGTCCAAACCACCAAACAGTCATTATTAAGTAACCATCATTACCATCATTAACCACTCTTATTGGTATAGAATCCCATTAAAAAGTGAATCCGTGAGGTCATGATGGCTTGTGGAAGCTCCGCGACTTCTGCCGTGCAGCGCTGCTACCTGTGGCAGCCTCCGAGTGGCGCGCGAGAAGCCACGCACGGCCTCAAGAGGCACCCCCAGAGGCCAGGTGAAACCCGGTGAAACCCGGTGAAACCCGGTGAAACCCGGTGAAACCCGGTGAAACCCGGTGAAACCAAGTTACGAAACTTACGCTGAAGGAGAGAAAAGGGGGAAAAGGAGAAGAGAGAGAAGAGAGAGAAGAGATCGGAAGAGATCGGAAGAGATCGGAAGATGAAGCAACTGCAAATTGATGCAAATTGCTTGTGATCCTGACCCTTTGCTTGTGACTAGTCTGTCTCACAGGCCCGTGGCAGCCAGAATCTCAGCCTGTTCTATCGTGTTTCTCATAAAAGCTTTGCCGGTCATAGCAGATCCTAGTAATACAAAAACGCTTCTCATGGATATACTATACTGATATACTACTCGAATGTATATACAGTATATACATACATGTTTAGGGCACTCTATCAGGACACACCACTGGACTTTTTAGATCTTTTTAGCAGATGCCATTTACTGTACCATTGACTCATGGCTCCCTTGTTACCAAAGCACGTTTGTATTGGATACAAAGCACGTTGGTGAGTTGATTTAATCAATGGGTCCACACTGTCCTAAGCAAGGTACGGACGATGCTCTGAAGCCGGAGGCCTCTTGGTGCGTTACATGGTTACTGTGTAGATCCTCCGTTCCCACTCTTGGAGTGAACGGTTCTGATCGGCAGCTTCACTTAACTCAGCTTGCGCTAAGAACGAAGAATCTCAGAATCTCAGAGCAGTATCGTGCGAAGATCAACAATGTCCTACCTAGAGCACACCATCTATCCATCCATATGTCCATCTGTCTATTTGCCCTTGCTTGGTTCTGCGAGCTGATGTCCAGGCGGACGTTTGGATGCTGGGCTCTTTCCTGTCCTCTCTCGTCTCCGGACTTCCGCAAGGCAAGTTGCGCACATCCAGCTGTGTACTTCATCTAATCTTGGAGGATGCCTTCTGCAATTTCTGCAGTTGTAGGAGACCTTTCGTTGACGAGGTCTACGTATCTTTTTTTCCTCCGCAAATTCTAATTCAACTTTATTTTAATACATTGTAGCTCAAAACATGGATGCTGCAGTGATGCCTGAGCTTGAGTCGCTAGAGATTCAACGCCTAGAAAACTGTGCTGAAATCCCAGGCACTGGGGCTTTGGCCATTGCACCTCAACAGCCGGACACGCAGTGCAAATCAGTGCAATTGTCGACACCGATCTCTGCTCTCCTGATCTCTCCTGCAATCCTTCCAATCTTGGCTGTAATTTTTGGAAAGAAATGTTCCAGCTTCATGCGCAGGAATTCCCGGCATCTTCCTTCAAGTGAAACTACTGTAGCTAGTGTGCAATGCAGGTAGTCAATCTGTCTTCTGAATGCCCAAACAGAAGCACTTCAATTCACCCGGGCTCACGATTTTTCAATTGTTGTGGGTTGTGAATCTGCATGCTCAAAGCACAGCATTCGCTTCATTTCCTACAAGGCTAGTGGATGCTGCTGTCGCACGCCTTTGTCTCCTACTTCAATGGCTCATGGCAGAGGAGCTGAAGATTTGAGCGCTGCTGGCATTGGAACATTCTGAAGTGGTAATGATTTGACGAACCAGACCAGTTGTCATCACATGTCATCACATGTCATCACATGTCATCACATGTCATCACATGTCATCACATGTCATCACATGTCATCACATGTCATCACATGTCATCACGATATATCACGATGTGATCCGATTGTTCTCTGAACTCTGCAAGGCGCCCGAGGAGAGGCCGTGTGCTGGAGAGGCAGCAGCTCTGCTGGGCGCTCTGACGTTCACTCCGCCCCAGGAGACAGAATGACACAAGAGTTCAAAGGAGTTCAAAGGAGTTCAAAGAAACTCAATGCCACTCAATGATATCGTCAAATCATGTCAAATCACTTGAAACTGGAAACAACATGAAACAACGTTTCAACTTGTTTCAACCAATTGTTCCAAAAGTTATTGAGCCGTTGAATGTTTGGTGAGTTTGGTGTTTCCAGTGTTACTAAGTTGTTTCGTGTTTCAAGGAGATCCTGGCAGAGATGCCACTGCGGGAACAGCGACGGGTCTGTAGCATGGCTGTTGCAGCTGCGCGTCAGCGCGCAGTGGACTTGGCAGTGGCACAGCCATCAGACATCGCAGACATTGCAGAGTTGCCATTGGAGAGGTGCCGCAGTGCTGCGTAGGAAACACCATGGGAATCAAATTGCCATGTGGCCATGAATCAGCATGATCAGTTTAACGCAGTTTAACAGTCATTAAACGATCTATGTTTATAGTAGTTTATAGTCAAAGTATATCTATGATTTGGTTTTCTTTGGTTCCATTGGTGTTCCATTGGATAGACACTTAAAAGAAGTGGGACCTGGTTCCACTTTGGATTTTTCACGGTGCAACAAATCATCATCCATGGTGGAACCTTGTTTCCCGGCGGGGTGGGGTACAGCTGTGCTTGGAAAACATGCTTTTTGGGGCTAAGATTTTGATTGGTGTTGTCGGATGGTTATCACTGAGTGTTTTGTCCTGAGAAAAGTGAAAAGTGGGATGACCATCCCGATGCACAACATTGCTTATTAAACACAGATTCAAGATAGGAACATCCTGGGGTTGGACCGAGCCTTTTCAACGCGGACGGAGTTATGCTGTTTCTACATTTTACAATGTGGACTAGATTTTTCATACCTCAGCTTTCCGCAGGTTGCGGGTGCTTGGTGAAGAGCTTCTCGGTTTGAAAATTGAGCTTTCAACTTTGTTTGGATGGTTTTGTCCAATTTTGCCATCAATCCTGACTTGTTTTGTCCAATTCGGTGCATCGAATCTTCGGAAGCCGTCCACGTCCGCAGGATCAATCAAATCCTGGACAATTGCGGGATGGATGTTGCTTTTAGACCAGACAATGCCCCAGAACTTGAAGCTCAAGCAGATCAAGCAGTGCCTACGCCTTGTGCAGGTCCCACCTTTGGGCATTGATGGGCATTGATGGGCATTGATGGGCATTGATGGATTTGGGATGATTTGCTTTGGCACGTTTTGAAGCTTGCTTTCTGGGTTTTCCGTGACCGAATGAACTACATTTGCAGCTGCGTTCTGCAAGCTTTTGCCTACATTCAAAAAAAGAAAAGGTATTCTGCATGTCTTTTGAAAAGTTGAAGTTGCAGTCCAAGTCTTTCGAATCTCGTATTTGCGGATGATGCTGATCTTTGAGCCGGATGGGGTTGGAGTGATGGTAAGGTTTCGTGGAACTTGCACACGCACACATGCACACTTTGTGCTACGTTTAGGATGGACTTCAGATGGGGTGGGATGGGCATGTTGGAATGATCTTAATGATGAGCGTGTGGGCTGGGAGACATTTGCAATGGCAAAATTCTAAAACTGATCAGCTGGAAACAAGCGTTACCCTTTGCTTAGAGAAGCTATTGTTGCTTCCTTCTTCAATTTTCTTCAATGAGAGGGATAGAGAGAGAGAGAGAGAGAGAGCGAGAGAGAGAGGCAGAAAGAGTTTCCTGTGCAGTTTTGCGAGGTTGCTGTTGCTGGTGTCATGCTACGGGTTGGGTGTGACTTGCCGTGCCATGCTGCCACTTGCTGTGCCATGCTGCCGCCATGTGTGCTGTGGGTGTCGCGTCTGTATTCTTGAGACTTTGACACACGTCACTTTCAACCTACTAAGTGCAACTGTCCTACTCTCTGGGCCTTCTCTAGCCTCAGAGACTACTGGCAACTTGAGAAGACCCGGCAACTGCTCCAGAAAGTAGACTAAGAAAACAGAAGTAGAGATGAGACGCACCTGTGTGCAGACCGCTGGCCATACCACGCAAATTGTTTGGCAATGCATGAAGAAAAGCGAGAAAAAGGAGCCAAAAAAGCACTTCTTCAAATTCCAACAGTCTGTAATCGTTCTAGTGCAGCACTGTCAGCAGACCGCAGTGGACATTTCCACGCAGCACAAGTGGCACAGACGGAGCAGTTTCTCAGCAGCACACATCATATTGTGTGCAAATGAACAAACCTCGAATCAGAAACTTCCCGCGAATCAGCAACAAAGAATCAGAAACTAAACCCCGCGAATCAGAAACTAAAATCTGCGAATCAGAAACCCAAATCCCACGAATCAGAAACCAAAAGCGCGAATAAGAAACTAAATTACAGGAATCAGATACAAAACCCCGTGAATCAGAAACTGAGAATCAGAAACTAAAAATTGCGAATCAGACACCAAGATCCGCGAATCAGAAACCAAACAAGCCCACGAATCAGAAACTAAAAAAAGCGAATTTGAAACCAAATCTTCCACCCCCTCTGAACATTTTGTTGAATGAGATATTACCGCCAACTTATCCTCATAAGGGATCAAGCCCGCCACCCCCCCTGAACACAATGTTGAAAAGGATGTTGCATTTATTTGTTTTTTTCCCCGTGAGGGATAAAATCCGCCACCCCCTTCTGGCCATCATGTCGAATGAGATATTGCCTTCAACATATCCCCATACCGGACCAAATCCGCCACCCCCTCTGATCACTATGTTGAATGGGATATGACCTTCAACTTATTTATGAGGCTTACGCCTGACAGCCGGGCGCCGGCCAGGTTGTTGTTGTTGCTGTTGTTGTGGTGGTTGTTGTTGTGGTCGTTGTTGTGGTTGTTATGGTTGGGGTTGTCGTTGTGGTTGTTGTTGTTGTTGTGGTTGTGGTGGTTGTTGTTGTTGTTGTTGTTGTCGCGGGGGATAGGACAAGAGGGTGTGGAGGACGGGGGCCGGGACTTCGGGCGTCCCGGCAGCATCCTTCGGTGGAAGGGGGCTGACAGCCCGGGTGTACCGTAGGTGCACCGAAGTCGGGAGAGCCGTCTGAAACAGGAAGAGCCGCTGTTGGAGGAAGGTCTTTTGTGGCCTCGCATCGCGAGGAAGAAAGTTGTGCACAAGCTCAGGGAGTTCGCAAGCATTGTGGGGTGGGAGTTGAAAAGCGTGAGACACACAATGCGGTGTGCAAACCGGAGCCGCATGTCGGTGATGTCAAACCGGACCCTGTGCCCCCACGTTTCTGATGGGTAGCCAGAAGGCTGCAAACCGGTAATTTGTGGCCAGAAATGCGTCAGTACATCATGCAAGAGTTTTGCAGCGCGGAGGTGCGCACGGACATGTATGAAGTGATTGCCGTTTTGGAAAAGCCACGCAGGTTGGAGTCCATTCACCATGGCTCGGTTCGAGAATTGTAAGCACTCACCCAAGCCTTTGAACTGCACTGCCTCATGTGGAGCGTTTTGCAGCCACAGATTGCAGAATCCACCACAATCCCAAGCCAGTTCAGAACATTCCCTTGCATAGTCCTTGGAGCGCAGAGCAGCGCTCAGCGCTGGTAGCGGCCGTGGTTTGCTGGCGGCCTGGCATGTTTGTGGTGAGCCAGCATGTTTGGAGCCCGCAATGGCTCGTTTCTCCGACATGTTTGCGATGAGTAACGGCTCGCTTAAGAGAGACTGGAGGGAACTGACTGCCAGAGGACAGAACTGACGCGACTGCAGCAGCACCGCATGAGGATGACCGCTGAAAACTGATCGCGTGACTGCTGAAACATGGTGACAGGTGCTCTGGGGGCGACTCCGGCAAGTTTGTGGGTGGCCCGGCTAGTTTGTCGCAGCTCGCTTAGAAGAGAGAGGAGGGAACTGACTGCAAGAGTACAGACCTGGCGCGACTGCAACAGCACTGCGGTAGCATGACTGCTAAAAACTGATCGCATGAGTGCGGCAACATGGTGACAGGTGCCTTGGAGCGACTCCGGCAAGTTTGTGGGTGGCCTGGCTTGTTTGTTTCCGCTCGCTAGCGAGCGATCGGAGGAGACGGACTGCAAGAGTACGGAATGGACATAGTTATATATATATATATTTTACATAGAGATATAGCAGCAAATATATATTTATATATGTATATATATATGCATATACATATATATATATATAGAGTTTGTTTCCGCTCGCTTACGAGAGATCGGAGGAGACGGACTGCAAGAGTACGGAATGGATACAGTTATATATATCTATCTATATTTTTACATAGAGATATATCAGCAAATATATATATATGCATATATATATATTTTGATATATATAGATAGATAGGTATATATATATAGATAGATATATCTCGACATATTTTGTTTGTTTTTGCTTGGAACGAAGAAGCTGCAACAAACACCCCAGCAAGTTCTTCTAAAACACAGCGAGGGCGAAACTTTGAACAGGGGATTGCAGACAGCGCCACTGATAAGCTAAGTAAGGCACGCAGTCTCTGTTTGCCAGTAGGTACTGCCCAAAATCTTCTTTTCTCAGGCTGCAGAGCGGTCTGGCAGAGTTGGGGTCAGCCAGCCTGTTTGGAGCCCGCAAGTGTTCGTGTCGCCAACATGTTTGCAATGAGCAACGGCTCGCTTAAGAGAGACTGGAGGGAACTGACTGCCAAAGCAAAGACCCGACACGACTGCAGCAGTACTGCATTAGGATGACTGCTGAAAACTGATGGCATGAGTGCGGCAACATGGTGACAGGTGCCTTGGGGCGACGCCGGCAAGTTTGCAGGTGGCCTGGCTTGTTTGTCTCAGCTCGCTTAAGAGAGATCGGAGGAAACTGACTGCAAGAGTACTGAATGGATACAGTTCTATATATATATACTTACATAGAGATATATCCACAAATATACATGTATATATATATATGTATATATATATAGATATAGATATATATGGACATCTTTGGTTTGTTTTTGTTTGGAACTGAGGAAGCTGCAACAAACTCCGTAGCAAGAGTTTGTAAAAGACAGCGAGGGCTAACCTTTGAACAGGGGATTGTAGACACCGCCACTGATAAACAAAGTAAGGCACGCAGTCTCTCCGCGGCCGTTGCGCCAAGGCTCTAGGCTAAGTAACGAAAGTGGACAGAGAAGTAAACACACACACACATACACACACGCACCCCACGAACAGAAGTGGGAGACGTACGCGTAGGAAATCTAAAACCGGAGCATTGCAGGAAGACAAACCGGAGCACTGCAGAAAGACACAAAGGTAAACACAGAAGAAGTAGCGGGGAAAATGCAACGCACAGAGTAAACCCCGGCAAAGGAGCACGGCACAACTTAAAGAGAAGTGGAACACTTGCAGGTGTTTGTTTACAAGCAACAGTACGAAGATGAAATGAAATGAAGCACGCCACCACCGACAACGAATTCGCAAAGCACGAGTGTCCCAAAGCGGACAGCCATGGCACAGTGGGATGCCATAGCCAGTGACATACTGCGTGAGCATGCTACCAAGGTAGCTGTCTGCTGCATAGCACTGAGCATGGTGTTCTGGCTTGCCTCCCAAATGAAGAAGTCTTATTGCGTGCGGCGGCAGTCAGTGCCAGCTGCGTGTGGCAAGGGGCCGCGCAACCGATCCAGCAAGCACACACACTGGACACGAAGGTTGCCGGGGAAATATACATCTTTGAGCTGGGGCATGGCAGTCACCGCAGCATGCTTGGGTGCCAGCGCAAAACAAATAGATTTCCTGTTTGCGGTCAATCTCTTCACCTGTGTCTTTGCATGCCAAGCGCAACGTGCTCTAGCCAGTGCACGACTGCGCAGTGGGTGGGTGAGGAAAGCACGTCGGGTGGGCAAAGCTCGGGTGAAAGCAAGGCGGCAACCAGGATCGCCACGAAGTAGACTGCAAATATTGATTGCAGCCATCTTCTTGTTCTCACCAGCCAGTTGGGTATGTGTGGAAGGCGTTTGCCAGGGCAACATCGCAGCAGCGCAACCAGTGAGGAACGCATGGGCAACGTCTCGGAAACTTAGAAACCAGTTGATGCGTGCAATGCATGGCAACACGATGAAGAAAGCGAACCGACGACAAGCAGAAGAGTCCACACCCAGCCAATGCATAGACGCGAGTGCCGGCAGCAATCCCGTCCTTAGCAAGAAAGCCAGA